AGGCTCTCATCCTGTATTAATGAAGCCCAAGAATCTTAATTTTCTCTAATCTCATCTATTAGCCTTGACAACCAAAATAAAATGTTAACATCCACGAGAGTGTCAGATATTTTTAAATAAGAATTCATGTTAGTCTCTGTCTCACTTTTCTATTTGTAATGCCAATATGTATCACCTGATTATTTAATGTGATGGATTACATGAACTTTTATGTATTAATTTTTTTCTGCTTAATTTGTCTCTCATGCTATCCTGTTATTTTAAACTTTGATTCTTTTACCTGATGTACTCTATCTCTATAGTCTGTAGCCTGAAAATTATCAAAACATACTCTCTTTCTTCAAGTCACAAAATTGTAAAGGTTTTTTTTGGGGGGTGTGTGTGTGTTGTGTGTGTGTGTGTGTGTTTTACCTTAAAGGAACCTAAAATATCCTAACTCCTAACCCATAACCCCCTTGTTTTAGGGAGAAGGAAGCTTAAGTCCTGCAGGGCAAAATAAATCTCCCACATTTGTACAGCTTGTAATAGAGACAATAAGCTAAAAATAAGTGAGCCAAGTTGAAGACCCATAACATCACCAGGAGCCTTAAGTGGGCTACTGACATTGAACAGTGCATGTGGGATACAGGTGCCCAAATGTAAGTGAACTTGATTATCCTCCATCAGATCTACAAAACTGATATTCCTTGATGAAGTCCAAGAGACCCTAAACACTGAGACAGAAGGCAAAGTTGTCTTGGAATTACTTACCTTTAGTGAATTATATTGGCTACTTGTAACTATATCTATTTCTAAATAACTAACAAAAAATATGTATATAACCATTTTGTTTTCTAATATATGGTTTTTATAATCATTCTAAAAATCAGAACATTTTCCCACTTGTTTTCCTGCTATTTCTGTTTTTATTCAGTAAAACAAAAAGAGTTACATGCTTAAATATGAACAAACTTAATTATCTGAAATTTGAAATGAAACTTTAACACTTGTGTCAACAGTGTTAAGAAAATGTGAAAAAAATTGATACTAATGCTATAATATATGTATGGAGCTTTAGATGTTTTTGTTAGGAAAGAAGAAAAAGAAAAAGTAAATTAATGAACAAATGAACCAATCATATATACAGCGTTGGAGAATACAGGGAAGAAATAACAAGTATACATTCAAATATAGAGAAAAATAATATAAAATAAATTGAAAATTGATTCTTTGACAAAAATATAGGCATGTAACAAAGCATTATATTATAGAAAGTGAAATAAATACTAGATGTATAATACCATATCTGAAAGATCTGTGGGTAGAAAGGAAGTAAGCCAGAATGGTGTCACAAGTTGACTACCAGAGAAAAAAAGAGTTGTGCTGAATTTTTATAGAGCTGTGCTGCTGTTTTGGTTTGAAGTTTGTTTTTGTTTTGTTTTTTATCATTTAGAAAGGCTTTAAAAGTTGAATCAAAAGAAGACATGGCTCTGGTACTTAAGAAGCGACTGTACACCTTAGAGCTCTTTCAGTGGGGTAGGGGTCGGAAAGCCTGCTGCAAGAGTTCAATGAGGTAGTAAGAAGCTAGAAAGAGATGTCCATTTTCAGAGTTCCAGAAACTGAACAAAAGAAGTTCAACCATAAAGTCAGAGATCAGAGTTAGGTTTTAGTTCAGGTGATTTGAAGAGATTCTTGTATCTTCAGACAATGTCCTACTAATTTAACTTGCTAATTGAAGTGGTACCAAAAAAGTAAGTTTTGGAGACATTTTTAAAACAACTTCTGTGCATTATTAGTTTTGATAATAGTAAGTAGTCAATGAGAATAAAAGACTTTGTACACAACTAGTTACTCATTAAATTTCATCTTAAGTGTCCTGTGAACTCCAAATTCATCTTGTTTATTTAACACTAAACATTGTACTCCATCTTTGACCCAAATCATGCCACCCATCAAATCTGTGAAAACTACATTAAGTTTCACATGTGTAACAGTACACATCACAACCATTAATACTTACTCTTCATGTAAATAATTCTGCTAGTAATAGTTCAGACCTAAGTTAGATAAATTTGGCATAAAACCTGTTGTGTCTCAAACTGTAGACAGCATGCTTTCTATACATGATTTACAATTTTTTGTGTCCTAAAAATACAGTCATCTTCAATTGTTTTTTTGAAAAGAAAACATGCTTCTGGCAAATATGTTGGGTAGTAGAAGAGGGGGAAAGTGCTTTTTTAAAAAGTTCAAAAAAGGAACCAGTACTCATCTACTTCTAAGAGCTATTCAGATGAAAAATTACTCAGCATGAGCTTGAGCTATATGTTTTTCATGGTTATTAGTACTAATGAAGATGCATTAGCTATATTCTCTTGATAATGCACTAGCTGTTTCTTAGTACTTTATCAACATAAAAATTTTACAACTGGCAATATGGGAATTTGACTAGTACATTCTTGTTTATAGGAAAGGGTAACAACATTATAACTTCTTCATAGCTGTGAATTATGAATCTTGACTTGCAAACAAGCAAGACAAAAATGCAATAGAACTTGAGTATCATAATAGTTCTTCTTTCCATGGTCACAAGAATTTCATGCCCACTGCTGAGTAGAACATAGTGCCAGAGGCAAATGCTTAGTTAATCCAGAATTTGAGTTCTTTTTATTTCATTCATTTTGTTCTTCAGTAAACATATATTGAGAGCCTTCTCTGTCAACCTGTAGTGTTTATAAAAGCAGCTAAGAAGGTGAGTGGTATATAAGCATTTTATATTCTTATTTCCACTGGGAAACATTATTGTTCATAATTTTGAAAGGGCGTTAGATAGCTCAGATCATTAAATATAAAATAATACAAAAGGAAACTTTTGAAATTTTTTTCACACTTCACTGAGTTAGAAATGAATGGATTTTTCTTTTGTAAAGATGAGCTTCAGATTTTAAACTTGAATTGTCTGTTTCTGAAGCAAAATAAGCTTTCAGTATCTTGTCCATACCATTAGGCAGTGCCACTAGAGAAAACTTCATGAAAGGGAGAAGCATAATGTTCTTTTGTTTCTGTTTTGGAACTGTGGATCAGTTCTGTTTGAAAGAATGATACCTAGCAAAGCAGACATGACTAGTGGCCTTGACTGATTTTGACAATAGCTACAGACAGAGCTTCATGGACCAAATGAATCAACAGCCACAGGTGAAGATATTTTGAAAAAAACAGGAGAAGGCAAAGAACTGGGAAGGGAATTACATAGAACTAAAGGACCAGAGGAGAAAAAGGTATGCTTCCATACATAGTCATCATGGTTGTGTGAAAATGGGAATGATACAGAAGAGAGGAAAAAATGGTGTTGCAGGAGAGCAGGCTAAAGGAGCAACAATCTCACAAGAGCAGAGGAGATAGGATCAGCACACATGGAGAGACTCATCATAGCTAGGGGCAGGGACTTGTGTAACAGAGAGAAAGACAAACTATAGGTAGATGCAGATACTACTTAATAAATATTTTAAATTAGCTACAATGTGCTATGCACTGACAATGTAAAAGTATGAACAAAAGAGATAAAAATCCTTCCTCTCATAAAATATATATTTAAATGAAGATTGTAGGAGGACAAATGATAATGAAAAAACTAAAATATAGTATTGATACAGGGAGAAAAACTGATCTCGGGCGGGTGACCTCCAAACAATATAGGGAACCTCCAAATGACATAGGGAAAAATGATCTCCCGGCCTGACCTGGACGAGTTCATATTCTCTAAAACTGAAGGATGAATTTTAGGAATAAACAAAGGTTATGAGCAGAATATACTTATTGAGGGAGAGAAAGCCCCTGTCCAAGAGAGGGACAGGAGGCGGGCCCGAGCAGGTAGTCCCTGGGAAGCTGTCTCTTCCAGGGACTTTTATAGAGTAAAACCATGTGGGGCTAAAGTAGAGAAAGGGGGAACTCGCTTAGGTGGATGTGGGTTGGGACAAAACTATGGTCAACCAATGAGATTATTATAAGCACCCTTGCTCAGGTAAAATTGATTAAATCCAGGTCCAAATAGGGAAGCGAGTCATGTAGCAAGTGAGCTTAAATGTAGAACAGGACTTTATCAGGTAGCCATCCAATAGTAGTCAGATTAATGATTCTTCTGGCTCCCTCAGGGTGATGATCAATCTCGGATGCCAGTCTTTAGGGAGGTTGGCATTTGTTTCATCTTTGGTCTTTAGGTCTGGCCCATGGCAGGAACATCCATCCCTCCCAGAGTTGCAAGATATCTTGTCTTCTGTGGTATCTCCTTTGAGAGCCTAGCCCTGTCTGACTGCCTATAATATTTCTATCTAACTTGGCTGCCTGCAACAATATGTCAGAAAATGAAAAGTGCTGTCAAGAAAAGTAAACGGAAGTGAAGCAGGAAGACAAGGCGTACTGGAGCAGGGGTCTGGGGTGGGTTCCAGTTTTAATGCATTAGACATGAATATAACTTCTAGAAATTTATTTCATGGTTATCAGAAACATTTCTTTTCAAAATAAGATTAAGTCTGGCCTACTAGGCTTATGTGAATTCTACTCTCAGCCTCATTTCACAAGTGCCCCCTTCTCTGACTAGCCCAGGATTTTCCAAGCTCTGTACCTCTTCTTTATTGTTCACATCAGAGATTTTAAACATATATTTATTTATGTGTCTTTCGATTATTTTTTTTCTACTGAACTACAGCTCCAAGAAAGGAACGATGTCTGTTTTGGGCAAGTGTATCCTCCAAACCTAATTCTGTCCTAGTACATAGTGTACCCTATTTGTTAAAAGAATAAATGAGTGAATAGAAAGGAGTAAGATTGTTTTCATAGTCTCTGTTTTTAAAACTTTTGTTATTTCACTTTGTAGTCACTTTAAGTTTTTACTTCTTTATTTAGCTGATCTTCTGAAAGTTCTTTTTCAAAGCAGGACAAAGTATGTTTATATACCAATGGACTATGTGAACTAGTTATCTTCTAATTTAAGTAATGTATGTCCACTTAACTTTTTTTTTAAACAGGATCAACCCCAAAGGCACTCCCTTGAATATAAATAAGGTCTCTAATAGCCTGATTAATTTTGGAAGAAAGTTGATTTCCCCAGCAATGGCCCCTGGCAGTGTGGGGGGCCCTATACCTGGAGGCAACAGCAGCTCTTCTGCTGTAATTCCCACCAAGAACATCACAGAAGCCCCGAGGCATCATCTGCTGCAGCAGCAGCAGCAGCAGCAACAGCAGCAACAACAGCAGCAACAACAGCAGCAGCAGCAGCAGCAGCAGCAGCAGCAGCAGCAGCAGCAGCAGCAGAGGCTGATGAAATCTGAAAGCATGCCAGTGCAATTGAACAAAGGTAGGAAAAAAATACTAATAAAGAACACAGTGTAACCTAGGATTTCCTCATCTGCCTGTGAGAAGCCAGCCTCCCCAAAATAGAAATTAATACAAATTTTAATTTTTAAAAATCTGTTGTATTTGATCCTTTTTAAGTTAGAATATCAGATACTGTATTCTTAAGAATATTTTCTGAGGTACTTTATAAAACCATATTGTAAAACATTTATGTTCTACTTGCCTTTTTGTCCAATGACGACCCATATGTATGATTACAAGACAGAACTTGAGATCCGTTGCCCGTTTTCTGATAACTTTGTATAATAATGCTCCCAGGAGATTAATATTGTCTTTCAGAAGAGTCTGAGTTGAAAAGGTATAATATCATGGGTTTTTTCATCATAGTATTTATCAATGCATTGCAATGGTTTGGAGAATGCATGCCCCTAGACTTGTGGTCTCTCATCTAGCTGCTTTCCCTCAAAGAAATACATACTAGAATCCTAAATAGGGGGGAAAAAGCTTAACAAAATCTCAAGCAGCCAAAATAAGTGTTTGAGTCCATACACTAAAAGTTAGCACCATAGAATTTAAAAGCGGAGGAAACCTGGGAGATCACCCACCCACATGGGTCACTTGGTCAGTAAGGCGTGGCTGCTGGTACTGCTTCTGGTAGCGCTTCTCCTGCTGGCAGTCAGATTAAGGTCTTTGCTGTGTCACAGCTGTGCCAGGGTTTCACCTCCCTCAGGCACTTTCCTTCAGGCTCTTACTTAGAACGGTTGGACAGTACTCTCATTTTAAGAGTCCTAATGTATTAAGTCTCTCTATTCCTAGCAGACTACAAACAGCTACATTTATTTTTAGTAATGGAACTCTGCCGAGTATACTACAGAAGCAAGAAATTCTAACATGGTGGAAGAAAATATACAAAGAGCACTGCTAAGACCTCAGACAGTGAAGACATCTGGGACCAGTTAGTGTCAGAGCAAACACCCTGATCAAGCCTCTTTTATGTCATAAATAATCTCTGTGTTGCATTAGCGTTCAGTACTTATTACTAACCATAATATCAGTAAGAAGACTAAGTTCCATGTACTCTGTTTAAAAAGGTTATATCCACAATTATTAAAAACTTCACACATTAGCATTTAAATTTGTAAATGGACTATTCTCCAGTAATGCAAATTAACAAATATTCAATAATGAGAGTGTATGTTTGCACATACCTGCACATGTCTGTGTGTCTATATTCCTCCATTGTTTACATGTCATCTGTCTTTTCTATGTTTCTCTGTCTCTGAAGTATTGGGCTTTATATAATTAATGTTTAATTTTTGTCAGAATATTAAGTTTACCATACCTGAAAATATCTCATTTAAAAAATTTTTTTCATGATTTAAAGAAAAGGAAATTTCAGTTTATTAACATAGTGTAAATGTACTTTAATGCCGGGAGACATGCCCACTTTCAAAGTGGAAATGAATGCTATTTTATATATTTCTTAATTGTACTGTTTTATTGTTCTAAACAAATATGATTTCAATATTGCTTGGATAACAAGCTTTAGTCAGTCATAATTCTATCTGATGGCAGGCAAATGAGTCAGAATCTCTTAATGCTGTAGCTTAAATTTTCTGAGGAACAAAGCCAAATGACTGTAGAAATATAAAGTTGTGTCTCTGTGGAAATGTCAAGTATTAATATCACAGTAAGTGAAAAAGGAAGAATGTGGAGATGAACAACTTATGAAAACTAACTACACAATTACAAGGAGACTACAGAGCACTTAAGCAAAGTATATGGAACACGAGTATCACTAGGGCATTTTGTTACCGATCCCTGTCCTGAAAGAAATTAGCCTTGTTTTGCAACTCATATATTTTTATTTCTGGTACACGCTTCTTATGTCAGTCTACTAAAAGAGCTGTTCTTTATAGTAAAGATAAATATTCCTGCTAATGCTCTTCCCCTGCATAAAGGCTTGAATAAAATAAAGGGCAAACAGTTTACAGAAGTAGAAGACTGCTTGGTGCTCTTTCCCCCTTCACCCGCTGATGAGCCCTGAGCAACAGCAGAAACTGTCTGCCTCCATTTCCTCACCAGAAAATGAGGTGCTTGGGATGATTCCTACAGAGCCTCCCAACTCAAAAAGCAACCTGTGTTTCTTTTGGTGAAAAGTCTATTTATGAACTCTAAAATGGAGCACTTATTCTTTGTGCTGGTATTTCCCACGAGTACTGTGTTGTGCTGGTCCACTGACAAATCTGCGAGCGTAGCACCTGAGATCATTGAACACAAGCGCCTGCCGCGGTTGCGTGGCTTATGATTGAGCAGAGCCTTGAGGAGTCCTCTACTGAGTGCCTTTGTGGAAATATATTAGCCTTTCAGTATACTCTGTTGGATAATTTGGAAGTTGTTTTGAAAAATGGTTCTTTGTGAAAAGAAAATTGTTGGCTGAGGTAGGTTGGAAAAAAAAAAAGAGAAAATTGTGTAAGGTTTTCATAGGTTACAATTATCTGTGTTTATAAAGAAGAGAATAGTGTTTGTAATCCAAATTCATGGGTGTATTGGTTGAAATGCACTGTGTAGCTTATGTGTGTGGGGGTTGACATAATAAAGAAAATAAGCAACACAGATGTGTTCCTTAATTTTGGGGTGAAATTTATGTTAAAATGTTTTAATCTCTACATATATGCAAGTAGATAACCTAGAATCAAAAAAACAGTGTCTACATATATAGTAGTAGGTGACCTAAACTAAAATTGCATTAGCAGGTATAGAATGTTCTGGAAGTACACAGAAAATATACTAGGCCAATCATTTATCAGTGAATTTAGAGTTAACTCTCTTATGAAAACTCAGGACTTGACCATTTCCCCAGGAAGCTGTTTATCCCTTATTTGGAATGTTACTGTTCATAGATTTTTCTTTCCATTATAAGAGAATGCAAAAGTATGTTCTATTAGTCGATGTGAATGATAAAATTGCACATAACAATTTTCATGAGTTTCCCATGCTTAAATCATAATTGTAGCAAGTGTTCAGGACACTAAGGCAATGTTATTTAATT